GTCGCGCGTGTGTAGTTTTCTCCGGCTCCTCGGGGCGGCGATAGTCGTCCTCGCGAAATAATGACCACGGATCAAGAAATCAATAAATGTGTGTGTCGTCACGGTGACCACCGATCAGGACAATAAATCTGTCCGTAACTCTGTTCGAAATTCCGTGTCAGGTCTGTGTCCCGTGCTAAAAAGCTTCGCTGGTCATCCACCTCCACAGAGTGCAATGACTGATGATATTTTTTTTCTTCTCGGACACATAACGAACCATTTTCTAGTAAACATCTGTGCATGCTCAAACATCCTGTGCTGGCCTGGCTTTCCGGGGTCTCCATTTTTGGAGGGCGTACCGTCCCGCCCGACCAACGTTGTAGGCACCCATATCTTTTCGCGTGTTTAATCGTTTCCTTATGTTGTTGTTGTATATATATAAATATGTATATATATAAGCGTGAAGCCACCAAAACCCCCGCAAAATCGAGTTCACCTCAATAAACATTTTAAGAAAGCAAAAAGAAAACCGGCCGCGTACACCAGGTTACAGTAACCCCAAACCCACGCTAAAAAAAGCAGAAAAGTGAGGACACAAGCGCATCGTGGATATTAATAGGCCTTGTACGCACGCGTAAGGAAAGGCGGCTCGATTCCGATCCTCTTGTGCGTCTTTCGCTCGAGTTCGGGCTCAGGTTACCGCACAGCAACAGCGCTCGACAGCAGCGCGACCTCAGTTATTGTTTCGTTCGGGCCGCGTCCGAAACCTGACGCTCCAGATACGCCCGACGTGGCACTGTCGCTACTGGCGGCACGCGTGCACACCACGAGCGCCGTTCGAGCAAGGGCGTCTCTTTTAGGCCGGTCCAAGTTTCCGCGGCGTCCCTCCGAGTTACCTGGAACCAGCGAATGAATCGATACAGGGATTATAGCTCGAAGGCTCGGTGGATGGATGGATGCATGCGTACACCTGTGCCCTTTTAATTGGGCGGCGTCTTGCGCCGCCAAGTCGGCGTGTTTAACGTAAACGCTTCTTCGTTTTTCGAAACAGGCTTCGCGTTTTTGAGTCGGGTTTGGAGGTGCACATCCGAGTTTCCCTATGTGTGTTCAGTGCGAATGTCGTGCGCCAGGTCGTACAGGCCTCATAGCCATCGACGTGCTCCCCTGCCCTCTTTTCCAGTTTTTTTTTTGCACAATAAATGTGTCTTACAACTGCTACTACCACATCATAACAAAAGCATGTCTTCTTGTGGCAGCAACGAAAATTTTAAACAGTGGTGTGTGCAAAAAAGGTCGCTGACTTGGCAAGTTTATCAATTATATAATAGTCGAGTGAGAAAACAAATGCACATTTTTTCACTCGCGTATTTATTGAAGAAAGAGATACATGGCGATAACGTAAAATTGGAAACAACTACATATGTCACTTGTATACTGTATGTGTATAACTGGCGTTGTTAATCGTTCCGCGTATTTTCCAAGTTTTTTTTAAGTTTTTTTTTATTTTTGATAGGTGTCTGCAGGAATTATTTTTCATTGCGTGAGCAAACTTGGGAAGTAAACCGTTACAAGTAACGGATCCCTTGTAATTCGTTACTTTTTCAAGTAATTTGCAATGTAATTTCGTTATACAATATTTTAAACGAATTACTTTAATTACTCGTTACTTTATAAAAATAAGAACTTAATACAGAAACAGGAGCAATATGAGCAGGCAATGAGCGGCGTAAAGATAGCAAGCTCAACAAAATAGAAAACATCGTGAAGAGGAGGACAACCGAAAAAAAAACACGATTTTTTGATAACCGGTAAGGAGAACCACTAAGAAAAACGCGCAAGGCACATGATATAATACACATATGCGAAACACAAAAATCAAGAAGGCAACGCCGAGTTGGCGTTGTCTTCTTGATCTCCTGTCGGACGTAGACGCTGCAACTGAGCATGCGCACCGATGCCTTTGTCCGCAGAATTCCAGGGTTTCATTTCCGGTGGCCGTATAAGCCAGCGGGATGGCGGGTGTAGTCGCAGCTTTCGCTGCCCTGTCAACCTAGAGGTGAACGGAGTGCACGTACGAGGGTGGTCCGATAAGTACTTAGCCTACAAAAGAAAAACAAAAAGTTTTGGAAAAGCGGCGATTTTTTTTTCAATATAGTCTCCTTTTAGTTCGATACACTTGACCCAGCATGCTCCAACTTTTTTAACCCATCTGAAAAATAGGTTTTCTCGAGGTCTGCAAAGTATTCTTCCGTGGCGGCGATGACCTCCTCATTCGACTCAAATTTCTTCCCGGCGAGTAACTTTTTCAAGTTTGGAAACAAAAAGAAGTCGCACGAGGCCAAATCTGGAGAATACGGTGGATTGGGCAGCAGTTCGTAGCCCAATTCGACCAATTTGGCCGTGGCGAGGGCGGAGGTGTGAGCCGGTGCGTTGTCATGGTGGAAGATGCGGGCGTACGAGAAATGGAAAGTAGTGTTGCAGAACATGATTGAAAACATAAAACAAGTGCTTCTATTGTTTCCTTGATAGGTGTACGGGAAAAGTAACGTGGAAGCAATTTATAACGTAACGAGCAACGTAATCCGTTGCTTTTTGAGCGAAAGTCATTTGTAACCTCACATACTATATGTGTATGCGCGGTGTGCTAGCTCCTGATAAAGGCGAAGATGAGTGAACGCCACGGGCCTCGCGGCTCTCGCGCAATTATATGTGAGCGGCTTGTGTGTGAGCGGTTGTCCACGTCAGAAGCAATCTTTATGTAAAAGAAAAATGTATCATGCATTTTCGCCTATGTATCAAGCAAACGTTTTTCCAACACACTTGAGGTGCATATCTGCAGATAATTTTGACATGCGGCGCAAATAGCTCAATGTTTTTCATTCCTGGACGTCACACCTGCGTAACCCTCGTTCTACACGCTCGCCGGGACAAGAGCGGGGAGTCGGCGAAGAGCTCCTCCCCTGAAACACACATTCGAATGCCCTCGATGCACCCAGAAGTCAGAATTGAGCTCGCGTCCAGCCGTCGCCACACGACAGGTAGGACAGCATTTCGTCTGACGTCGGCGGAGTAAACCGAACCGTCCGCGACTCCACGGCGCCGGTCGGTCGCGCGCTCAGGTAACGGTTCCCGATGCCCCTTTTTTTCTGCAACAAAGAGAGAGAGAGAGCGCGAGACTGAACGCGCCGCGCGCTGCCGCACCGCGAGAGGAAAGGACGGACGCGCAAAGTCAACTTCAGCCCAGCCAGGGTAGAGACGCGTGTGCACACTTGCGGAGTGCGGCGGGCGCGTGTCCGGCGCCAGGCCGCTCAAAAAACAAGCCGCCGATCAAATGTCGCCGCGTCGCCGGCGACTGTGATGTGGTGTCGGGAGATGCAAGTCACCGAGGTCGGGAGTCCTGTAGTCTGTTGCCGTCCCGAGTGCATCGTGGATGGACGCGCCCCGTCGACGGCAGAGTCTGGCGCTGCGACATGCGGACGACGCTGCCACGCTGCCTTGTCCTCTCCGTCTGCATCTGCCTGGAGTGCAACGTGGCGCTGGCCAGCTTCGGGTGAGTCAGCTGGTGGCAGGTCCGTCCTGGGAGACGCCTGGTCGCGTGGGAGTCTTTGATGTCCCGACTGGACGCAGAGGACATCCGGAGGAATTCGTGCTGAAGGTTCAGTGCAAGATGGGCAAAGGTAGTCAAGGATGGCAGAAAGAACTTTAGTAAAATCTCCTGGATGTCCCTGAGTGTCCGCCGACGTGTCGCTGAAGGGCTTGCATCTTCAGTGACAAGTACTTAACAGCTCAGGGATATGTCTTAGCGTTGGACACCCAGAGGCCTTCATGTGGTTCTTCGTGAAAGTAAGTCTGGCTATGAACTATTTGGCATTTGGTAGAGCTAGTCTATGCACAACAAGAATGCGCGATGAAGACTACAGTTTTCCCTGCACTGTTGTGGGACATGTACGAACAGCCTTGCTTGCCTTGCGTGAACAGTCTTGCTTGCACAAATATTCATACAAACAAAACATTTTTAGAAATAACTACCACTCACTCAATCATGCCAGTTTATACACATCGTAGCTAATGATACATCAAATAAGTGGATTTCGAGTTGGGGACGGTAGAAATGAACCCCTCCGCTCAATGCCAAGTTGGCAATGTATACCGAGCTGTGGAAGTGTGCCTCTCCAAATTTTTCTAACAATTCTCTTTAAAAAAAAAAATCTAAATTACCCCATGAATTGGTTTATATCGACAACTTAAAACTGATAATATCCGCGATTATGCAGTGAACTCTTTGAACTGACCTTGGTTTTGTAAACAAAATTGAAAAACCCGCTTGAAAAAGAAAAATGACATTGTTTCTTTTAGGTCGCTATTTCTAATAGAGACAAAGCATTTATTTTCAAATTATTTGAAAATAAACGTTTTGTCTCTATAAAGATAAATAAAACAACTAACCAGTTATTTTTTTTTTATTAGGTTTGTTGAAACGCCCTGAGCACCTCTACCCCGCGAATGACCAAGCGGCCTTTGCCAACACGCATGAAATGTCATGGGCAAGCCTTATAGACTCGTATATTTCCATGCAAGTCGAAAACCTCTTGTCAGTTTGATGCACCAAATTTGAGCGAGCAAAAAACGCAACCTTACCACCGTCATCTCAGCGTTAAATCTGTAACGGACCGTTGAGAACGAAAAAAAAAAATGTACGCCATTAAGTAATACATTGATCACCAGTTGACAAGACGGTGGAAGCGACATGGTTGTCGGGTAAATCACTATACTGCCCTTGGTCGCCTGATTTCGCTCTCTGCACTTGAGTTTGCGCACAGAACACTTGTTTGTCACGCCGTCTCAGCGGAGATTAGACACGAGTGTTTGGAGTCATTGTTCAGCCAATCATTGTGTAATCGAGCCCTTGGCTTCGTGTTTTTTCCCGGTCACACGCTGGGCACTGGACGCAATGACCAAAAAATTAGCAACCCAGGGAAGCTTTGGGAGCATTCACTGTCAAAGTTACGGAGGCGTCAAACATGGGCAAAAGAAGTATGCATCTCACAATGAACGGTTCTAAATGACACTGTGTTTTAAGCCGGGGGCACACTGCTTACACACCATACAAAAGACAGCCATGCATACAGATTCAAACGCGAGTCGCCGCGAGGTCCGTGCTTCGAATGCCACATGGCAATGAGTTCAAGGAGAAACTTGGCACGCGGCATTCGAACCACCGATATTGCAGTGACTCGTGCTTGCAGACTGTCTTTTGTAGGATGTATGATAAGTAGTGTGACGTCGATGACGCGGTCGTTGCAAAGCCAGCCAATTCGCAGTCGAAGCCTCTGCATACCACGCCGAAATGGCATCCGGCTTACCGTGCGCGTGGCTCGTCTGCAAGACTGTTGGAAAAACGAAAGAAGGTTGCAGAATTTCTTTCTAGTACGTCCCAAGTCCAGGAGCATCACCCGTGTTCCCCCTGTACATCATCCCCTTGTGTCCTTCAGAGTCCTGTCCCGGTCCAAGCCTCTGGTCTTGGACTCCGACCAGAACCAGTCCGTGAAGAAGTTCTGCCAGCAGCACCGCAAGGAGGCCAGGCTACGCCGGTTTTGTTCTGTGGATCCAGGACTGGTGCAGGCCATTGTGCACGGTACCAGGCTGACCGTGGACAGCTGCCAGTCCCTGTTCCAGTGGGAGCCCTGGCAGTGCGACCTGCTTCAAGACAAACGCCGGCATCTTCTCAAAAAAGGTGGGGCGTCATATCCCGTTCAAAAGCATTTGTTATGGCGTCCGTGTTTCTTCTTTTTTTTACATATAATTCACGGTAACTTTGAAAGCAGACGATGTAATAAGTACTGGTTACCCCTGGATTTAAAAATGATCTAATAGGAGGCGCACTAAGTAAAGACGGTTCGTCCGAGTGTAAGCAAGTGTGACGAATTGCTCCGTTTTTACTACTTATTAAGAGCGTCTAGTCGCGAAATCACCCAATTGTTTATATACACTGGGGTATTTTCTTCTGCACACCGAAGGTCGCTTCCCTAACCGCTGGCACTTTAAGGGGCACCGCACATATAGGCGAACATCGTTTTATTATTGGTTACCTAAAATCCATATAAAAGTTACGATACAAAGGGTTAAAATTAATAAATATTTTCACCTCAGCGCCAATTAAAATTTGACGTTTTCGCAAATTCTGCATACCTTAACTATACACTTTCGTAATTTGATTTTTTTTTAAACCAGTGAGCTTTGCTTGTAAAGAAAAAAAAATATTTTTATGCGTATGAAGACCGGTATCTGTTTGTATTTTTCGCAAAAAAGGGCACCGGGTGGTTACTAATTAATAAAATAATAAATAAATAAATACGATATTAAGCGAACCAACGACGATCACGCTTCCTATACCGAGTTTCGATTACGACAATATTGACCTTTTTTCAAATATACTGGCATCATTTGTGTCATTACTTAAAGTGCCCGTGAAAGACGAAAATTCGTCTTTCACTTGTCCAGCTCGCTTGCACCTTTGCATTTAATTGCATCATAATTATGCCCGTGAAGTTCTAACAAAAAACGATGCCGTGTATTGGCAGAACCACCAGGCACAGGGGCAGACATAGGAAGAAGGGGGCGGGGGGGGGGGGGGGGGGGTTGGCGGCTCTCCCCCTATAAGCCCCTCAAGGTCAACTTTTTTTTAATAGATTCGCGTGAGAACGTTTGTTTTGATGAAAACGAACGTTTTCATCAAACTTTCGTTTGTTAGCGCCGGGGAGAGAGGGAGAAGGAGGGGGAGAAGGTGACGCGTGTGACGCTGACGTCAAAACGCGTGAACTTTTCCTCTCTCCTTGGCGCTGACAAACTGACAGACACTGCCGAGTTCTCGTCAAAACAAGCCCTTTCGTTTTCGCCAATGTCACGCTCCCAGCCGGCGTGGAGCAAAAGAAGGGGAGGCGCCGAACGACACCTCCTAGATTACAAAGCCGTAGTGCTGAAATAGGTGTCGTCATCAGAGAAAGCCAACGATGGATACAGATTGGAAATAAGTGCTGCTTAAGCGCTCGGCTTTGAGTCAAGTTTTAAGCCGAACGTTGACGTAATTGTCGTGTCCAATCTGTGACCAGCGTTGGCCTTCTCCGATGACGCCATCTCACTCAGTACTACAGCTTTGTTATCTGAGAGGTTTTGCCTCGCGGCGCGGTGGAATGCGGGCGTGCTCAGTTGCCGCTCTGCCGTCGCGGGTTGTTCTTTGCTCTGGGTTTTCGTAGTACTGGTGCTTGGGCTGTGGTATTTAAGTGTGTGTATTTAAAACAATAAAAAAACGATGGATGCGGTTCCATCCACGAGTGATATGAATGCGGTTTCTTCCACGAGTGGAAGAAACCGACACGCCTGACACCACCGTCGCTACTCTCGAAGCATGCCACAAGCCCCGCGAGAACTTCCTTCCAATGACAACCGCTGAGTGGCGCGAGGAGCGCGAGAGGCTGTCCCTACTGGCGTTCGCGATTTATTCGTTTGGGACTGTGCATTGCGCTCAGTGTCCTTTGTCAGCATTAGCGTTGTCAGTCTTTTTGCGCTGCAGGAATGTGCCGAAATTCCCACGCGCTTTCATTTATGCCTGGTGCGTTTTCTTGGCCACATGTGTTGTGTAATGTCATAATTAGCCAACTATTAAATTCCAAATTTAAGTATACGTATCGATTCATCTTTTTTTAACACCTACTCCAACATTAATTTTCGTGTTGAAATGTTTATCTAGGTTTATTTATTGCGTTTTTCTTCGTTTATATGTACTCTTCTTTTCCTGCCGCGAGTCTGCGAGAGATCGCTAATCCGGCCCCTTAGTCAAAAAGTTGGGAAACCCCCTGCCCCTAAACGAGAATCTCTTCGGTCAGTGTACAGGGAGACAGCCCTGGTGTACGCCCTGGCAGCAGCGGGGCTGACCCACAGCGTGGCCCGAGGTTGCAGCTCGGGGCGGCTGAGCAGTCGCTGCTCGTGCAACGAGTCCGGCAGTCGGACGTTGTCGGCCACGGAGAGCGACCAGAACTGGAAGTGGGGAGGCTGCGGGGACAACTACAGCTTCTCCGCCAAGTTCTCGAGGAAGCTGCTGGCAAGGAACAAGAGCCGCCGGCCCAGGACGCTCAGGAGGCCCGTCGACAACCATAACCTCGTGGTCGGCATTAGGGTAAACCCTTCTTCTTCTTGGTTGTCTTCGTGTGTGACGTTACGATGACTGACGTCCTGAGTTCGTGTCGTCCTCTGGCCAGGTAAGACTAGTTTTTGAAACGTTGTTTGTTTCGATCATGAGCGATAGGAAGGTACCGAGAAAAAAACAACAAAAAAAACACTTTCTTTTAGCTTGGCGAGCCCTTGTTGCCCCTACAAGGGAAACAACAACAGTGGGACACTAAAAAGAAATAGCAACAACAATAATGATAAAAATATTATTCAATCAATCAATGTTTATTATAGTGCCCAGGAACAACCTTGTGGTCATGGTGGTCCACTGGATGGAAATGAATACACAAAACACATAAATACAGAAGAGCAAGGCACTATACAGTAACTGCATATAATCATACACGACATACAGTGAGCTGAGTGATAGCAAAATGCAATTTCTAGGTCTTGTGTACAATGATGAGAAATTGCAGTGATGCAAAACAAGTTTCAGAGGCACTAAAAGAGAAATAATATACGAAGCAGTAGCACACGAACAGACCCAACAATTTCTGTGCTCTCCGATATCAACCTCAAAGTGGACCACAATCATTATTCACCCGCCGGACAGGTCTTCAAGAAATTACAAACGCATTGTAGCACGAGTTAAAAATATCGAGTTTCTCAAAGTACTAGTTATAAAACTCAGTCAGTCTCATAATTGAGCTTAAAAGACTAAATTTTTTTGGAAATATAAAGGGATGACATGATTGATTCCGAGTAAGCACACGTGGAACCCTAAGGCACACTTCAGACAAGAGGCTTGGTGAATTAATCAACCCATGCAACGTCTTAAACAAAAACAATAGGTCCGCCTTCTGCCGATGCCGGTGCAGGCTCAGCAAGTCAACAGGCTCTAATGTTGCGCCATCAGCTGAACAATGAACATCCTTCATAATGTAGCGATGTTTAAAGATGGAAATAAACATTTTCTGAACTTATTCGATTTCCAGTGATTTGGTGTTAGAGATTCCGTTCCACACAACTGAGGAATATTCTAACTGGAGTATGCATAACGAGCGGTACAACGTGAGAAACGCAAAAGGGCTCGTGGGACATGGCCGGGAAGAAGCAACGAATCATTATATATATACATACTTAGTTAACAAACTAACACAGATAAACAATCATAGTGGTCCAGGGGGTGGGAGGCGGTGGGCAGTCAGTCACTTTGTGCATGGCACGGAAAGAGATATTCAAATTTCAATCACAGTGGACCGGTGGAAACACTATAGATATATAGATATATATATATAGGTAAAATGAAAAGGTTCCGACAAGGTTCTCAAAATAAAGGTAAGAAAACATTAATGAGTTGTTAAGGTAGAGTCCCATCAATCAGCAATTGATTTAGTTGCTTTTTTGAGGTAAGCGTAACAATATTATCAGGAAGTGAATTCAATATTTTCGGGAGTAGCTTGTCCGCAGAGAAACGAGGTACAACGTAGCGAGGACAATCTCTTAGAACTCGGGAGGACTTGAATGTTTTTTTTTTAAATCATTCATTCAAAAGTGGCGCAAAATTACTGAACTCACGAAAAACTTTTGGAAGGAAGGTAAACCAAGATACTTAAAGATACTTCTGCATTCTCTCAAATAATAATAAAAATACATCAACTACTCGGACAACGTACTCTTTTTGTACAAAATGAAGCATGACTGCTTTTTTTTCGGTGAGGTGATATCAATTTCTAAGGATGCAAGATAATTTCAACGTTCAACGTTGCGAATGCTTTCCCAACATTGCACGTGAACGCGTGAAAAGTCCCTCTGATTTTGTGTATCGCCCAAATTATTTTCGTTAAAAATATAACTGCTTCTATGTTGGCATTCGACGTCGAAGCGTAAGTATTTTATAATGAAAATCCCCTGTTCTAAATTTAGAACCAGGTATATAACCATTCAAATTGTGTGCTCCGTCTCAGCCTACAATGTACCGCAACAGATGCTGCGAGACATCGGAGTTAATCCAAGGAGTTAATCCTGAGAGAGCATGGTGTGGACCTCCTGGTTTTAAGTGAAGTCACGTGACCCGCTGTCAGCACTTAATTGGCTGGGATGCCTCATAGCATTGGTAGCAGTTCATCTCAGAAGTGAAATGGGGCACAGTAACATCTCCTCCAAACTTAAATGTCGCAGTAACGTCGACGTGGCCTTGCTGACCTTTCGCAGGTGCTGAGGCACGGCATCAGGCGAGTCTGCAAGTGCCACGGTCTCTCGGGCTCCTGCTCCGCGAAGACCTGCTGGGAAGAGTTGGCCCACTTTCCGGATGTGGCAAAAGCCCTGAAGCGGAAGTACTCCAAAGCCATCATGGCCCAGGTGGAGAACAAGCCAGACTTCGCCTCCACCGAGGTTGTCAGCAAGCTCAAAAAGACTCTCTTGACCAGGACAACTCAGAAGCCCAAATGGCTCCGGGCTGTGACGGCCGAGCTGCAGCGACTCGGCAGGGACAGGCTCGTGTACCTCGAGGAATCACCGTCCTTCTGCGAACGGAACGTCCTCACCGGCGGGATGAGTCAGAGACGCTGCCGGGACCACGCTCACTGCGAGCAGGTGTGCTGCGGACGTGGACATCGGAGCTTCTCCGAGACGGTGCAAGAGAGGTGTCACTGTCGCGTCGTCTGGTGCTGCCAGCTGGAGTGCAAGACGTGCACCGTCCTCAAGTACTCGCACTCGTGCCACTGAAGAAAGTGCGCGGTTCGTATTGTACCTGAACTGCTCCTGACCCGTGGAGGAGAGCCATGGCATCGCCGCGTTTAAGAATAGATTCCATCACTGTCGTTTTATTGTTATCACCTGTTGTTTAGTTTTACAGTGAAGCTGTATATGACTCGTTGGTCGGGCTTTTTCGTGTCCGTCGACAGAACAGTAGTCGACAAAAATTCCACGCGTGCGCCTTATCACTGTTCACGCGCGTCTTATTTCTTATAATGTGGTTTTGACACTTGTTTCATTAAGAAAACCTGAAAAGAAGTGTGAAAACCACGTGATAGATGATAAGTACGTAGCGCTCCCCGCATGCGTTTCTCGGTAAAGATTGCGGTTGTATAAGCTCCCGCTGCAACGGCAGCGTACGAAGTCTTTCAGATATGAAAAAAAAAAGTTTTGGTGCAGTGCATTTACTTTTCTTTCGTCAATTATTTGGTACAGACCCTTTTGCTGTTTACAAACATGAACTGCCGCTCGCGTTCAAAGCGCCTTCCGGTCGCACCGTCTTTGCAAGCCTGTCAAGCTTGCTCATGTCACCAGTGCTAGAAAGCATAAATGCTACACGGACAACAAAGTTTAAGAATTAACGAGGACCTTCGACTGTACAATATTACATCTTGGAGGAGGCAAGTTGGTTTACAAGAATGCTCGAAATATTTTAACAGATCTCGCGCTCCTTCTTTCTTTTGGCGTTCACTTGGAGAATTGGTGGTGTTAATTAAGGTGGCCTCGTTGCTACGGCAACTCGTCGTTCATTCTTTTCATAAACCGGAAGTCCCCTGGGACGTCAAAGACTGGTTCACCACCTGGTGGTGTTTTCTGTAAAAAGAGTCTAAGGGGCAGTGGGCAATCATTGCAGGTGATACCACAGATTTCATGTGTTTTGTTGAAAGCGGGATTTCCGAAATACAAGAGTAATAAAAGCCGCACTTTTTTAATATGTCTTTTATATGTGGCTTTTATTCTTGTCGTCTGCTTTCTCCTTTTTAATACAGTCAGGCTGCTCGTACACCATAAAACACAGACGCGGTGTTCACTGCAGGCATGACGACAGAATTATCTACGTACAGGCCTCAAGCATGCTCGAAGGTCGTCTGCTTCAAGTATGTCTGCTTCGAACACGCCTGCAGACCGTTATTTTATGACCAATGTAACTGCCATAAAAGGAACGGATGGATGGATGGATCTTAATGGCTTTGTAACGGGCGGTAGCTTGTGCCACCTAGCCAAACACGTCTCAGACAGCGTCTCCAGACTGTGATTACAATGCCTAGCTGTGCTTAGAGATTTGTGTTTGTCCTTTGTCCTTCTTGTTTCCCTTCTCCAGGGATTATTTTCGTCATTCGTCCAGACTGTCTTTTGTATAATGTATTGGCGGTGTGACCGCGGCTTATAAAACGGAAGTAGCGTTTAAAAAAAAGTTAATTGTTACCACTGATCTCTATTGTACTAGGCTGGATTGCGGTCCGCGGCCTCGGCAGCTGGGGCCGAGTGTCGCCACTGCCCGCCATTGATTGACACCAGCTAATGCATGGGACTCTATGGCTACGTTTCCATGGATGCGACCATGGCGCATCGAATCGAGCTGTGACCAGTCACGCGCCCGCGATCCCCCTTTCCCTTCCTCGTCTACCCAATCATAGGCGGTTAATCTCGATTCGATTCGCTACGATCGCATCCATGTAAACTCAGCCAACGGGAAGAACGAGAAAAAGAGCAATTTCCCCCGTTTCTAAGCTGTTGTCGGCATTGAAACTTTTTGGATGCTTTTCGATAAGCCCGTCAAATAGCTTGCGTACAAACATTAAAACTGACAGTCCTCGCGTTTCTTATAAATTAATATTTTGTGGTCGAGAGTGACTCCGCTGTAGTGCAGCTCAACGAGGCGAGAGTTACCTAGAGTTACCGCGGAGTCGGTGGCGGTTTGGTTGAGTTGGGCTTAGCAGACGACAAGCTCCAAGGCTTTGCTACGCGGAATTCGCTCACTCCCGGAAAGCCGCTGTCGAGATGGAACTTGTTTGTCATTCATCAACTTCTGAGCTTCCCTGAGGACGGTCTCGTTGACGGCAAGTTTCTTTGTTTACTCCACTACGAGAGCAAGCTTGCCAGCTCAGCCGTAGGTGCTCCGGTACGTTTGATTTTTTTAATCGACATTCGAGCGTTTGACAAATGCCGATTCGATCTCCAAACACCCGACATAAGGATCGCAGCACACCATAAAATACTCGCCTCCGAGCACAGCGTACATGCTTCAATAATCTTACTTTTGTGCGTTTCTCCTATAGACTTGCGTGTATTGCCTGGTGTCAAGCAATGGCCTCCGGTGGCGACACCGACGGGCTCCCGATCCGCGATCCAGCCTACTACAATACAGATCAGTGATTGTTACAGTTACCACGCTCTCGCATGGTAACTGCCAAAGCTACCACGCTCTCGCGCAGTAGCTTTGGCAGTGTTTTATGATAAGTATGAAACAGAGTGTAGGATCACGTCGTGGCATGAAAGTCGACGTTGTAGGCTTGTTACATGGATGGTGTCGTTTTTCGCACACGGCACTATGCAGTGTTATTAGCTTTGCCAAGAAAAGCGCGTAATTTTGGAAGGAGCAAAAGTTCACGTGGAATTCGCGGTGCGTGTGTGTGTGTGCCCGCTCTTGGAAAATGCAAACATTCGAACCAGACAAGTTATATATAACACATGTCCTTCAAGTAGCATAGAACAACACATCTGCGAAGAGAACGTTCCATTAATCAATGAGTGAGAACTATTAACAACCAAGATATAGCGTAATGGCTTGGCTTCGCGATTATCTCTGGGAATGAATTAGTTCGTCTCAGATGTCAGCCTTAGTGCCTAAGGCACAGGTGTCAAAACGTAGTCCTACAATATTAAATTATCACAGGAGCACCAAAGCGAAAAAAAAGCATTTTCTAATGTCGCACGTTAACGCTCATACTTCATGACTCTGCGCAGTGCTGGTGAGGAAACGCATAGACTCTTTCAGGCAGTAGATTTGCCTGCGACTCGTCTCCATCACGTTCACTGTGGGTACCCATGAATGCTGTAGTCTTGGTAGATACCACGGTGTCATTATCACCAAAGCAGTTTTTTTTTAAATTTTCTTCAATCATCATCGCAATATTTAATGGCTCGGCATCTCGGCAGGACGGCTTTCAGAACTATAAAAGTAAATTCTGATATGTAACATAAGTTACAAATAGACGCTTACAAGGGCGTCTAGTTACAATCAGCTACTCAGAGCAATTAAGTGAGATAGTTTTCACTTCTACAATGTCATATGTTCTCGAGGTGTGATGTAAAAACTTAATATTGACTCAGCTTCCAATGTGGAAACGTTACTGCTATATTGAACGGTGTTGCCATTGACTTCTAGGAGTTGCAAACTACTGACGGTAGGGCTTGAGGCAATGACAACATGTAGCGCAGATGATATGACTCAATCCACACAAATTTCATCGTTTGTCTTTAATATCACTTGGAGAACGGTAACTCTAATTGGACTAGCTTAAAAGATACGCAATATTGTCACGAATGAAGGCGAGAAGCCGATTAATAATGAACTGAAAATAAAAGTTCAAATCGGCGAACTTCTGCCAAACAAAATAAAGAACGAGCGTCGAGATAGCAGAAAAGCGGGCGACGATTTGGCGGCGTAACAGCAAGCGAGAGCGAGATTGACTCGACAAGGTCCCGCGCAACTCCTTATCTACCAAATGTCTCAAGTAGCGGCGAGGCTCTTTAAATCGACCGCGAAATTCGGTTTCTTAACCTATCGCGTTCCGATTTTGTGCAGTGTTGCCCACAGATGGTGCAATTTTTCTATAAGATTTGCAAAGAGCGAACTTAGCTGAGAGAAAAGTAAAAAAAAAAGAGAAGGCTTAAAGCGCGAAACACATGTACGACGAAACCGTCCGATCCGACGTGCGGACTGCCGGAATGACCTTGCGGGGAGAGGGTTTTCGTAGCATCGGAGAGCGTTGAAAACCCTCGCCTCCGACCGTCGTATTGCGCGGTCGGACGTCGGATCGGACGGTTTCGTCGTACATGTGTTTCGCGCCTTACTCCTACGAAAACGCACCGAAGTCACCGGTCTTCATACAATAGGGCGTCCTATTGATTGAAGACCATTAGCTCCACTGGGTTTCCACAAAAGTTAAGCCTTCTTCTTTTGCTTACTTTTTCCCCACGTAAGTGCGCTCTTTGCAAATTTTATAGAAAAAAATACACCACCTGTGGGCAAAGCTGCACAAAATCGTAGCGCGATAGGTTAAGAAACCGAATTTGGCCGCTCTTTGAAACACATTGTGCGCCAGCGTCTCGAAAATTCGGCGTAGAAGGTTCGAGCGTCGAGCGTTCGAGGTGAGAATGAACAGGCACCTTATAGAACAAGAAAGTAGGACGAAATTATAAAAGTTACGTCCCGATCAAGTTTCTTCTAGGAGTCCGTGACCAAACATTGCTTGCTCGGCCCTGTGCGCGGCAATGTATACATAACCAAGTTACTGAGATTTGAATACAACTTAATTAGATAACATAATAGGACAGGCAAGTTGGTTAAAGTTAAACATTTCTAAAACCCAAAACGGAAGCTACAAAAAGGTGACAAGCAGAAGACGTCTCAAGCACAGCTACTAAAATTTTATTCAGGGCACTCCTTTTATACCCTCCATCTCCACACCGCCCTCCAATTGAACGCGGCCAAAAAACGTGTCCTGAATTATATTTTAGTAGCTGTGTTTAAAACGCCTTGTGTTTGTCCCCTCTTTGTAGCCTCCGTCTTGGGTTTTAGAAATGCTTAACTTAATTAGAACGCATCTAGTTACCGCAAACGCATTTAGTTATCGTATTTTCCCGGCTATAGTCCGCACCCGGTGTAAAGTCCGCAGGAGCGAATTTGGGGTCAAAAATGAAAGATTTTGCTCAGATAGTCCGCACCGCGTACATAGTCCGCACGC